TCACCGACTAAAGATGTTCTAATGTATAATATGGACTATGGTTTCCCCCAATACACACAATAGGGCATCATTGACTCTAACACCATATTATAAAGACACTAAGGAGTCTCTTATCTCCGACACCATACCTTAATAGGCACTAAGGAGATCTTCTTTAACACCACACCTTTCAAGGTACTAAGGAGAATTGTTTCCAACACCGCACCCTAATGGATACTAAGGAAACCTTTCTATATGGTCTTTATCATCTCCTACACTCAGGTAAACTCTCACCCCTATGATCATGCTTTTTAGAACCATTTAAGGTTCCCATTTACCATTTCAAACTTTCTTACACATAATATATATAAATAATACTTTACATTACAAAACACACATTTCAATGCTTATTTCAACCAAAAGTTATTTCACATAAACAATCACTTAATTCTATAAAACATGCTCAGTTTAAAATCATTTCATGTACTACATAGCATACTAATATACAGTTATAATAAATAGTCAAACAAAGAAAGTTATTCCGTTACCTTAACCCTTTTGTCACTAGAAAGGTTACCCATAGATTTTAACTATCACTCAAGCTTATCTTAAGCCTCCTTCCCTTACTCATACATCCAATATGCCAATTTGAACACGTTTGGTATATTTTAGTCATTTGGTCCATTTTTACCAAAAACTCATTTTTACTACTTAGGGCTATTTTCATCCACAAACTCTTTTCATTTATCCATTCTAAGTTTATAACTACCCAATTACTATACATCATCTTAACAAGTCTTATTTCACTCAAATCAAATGTTTTCCTTAACTTTCTCTCTCTAAGGGCTAAAATTGAGCCTACAAGTTCAAAGTTCTACTGTTTAGCTTTAAACTAGTCACAAAGCTCTAATCTAACTTTCAAGAACCTTTTCATTTCTATTGGGCAAGAATTAAACTCCTCAAATTCCCTTAATTTAATTTTCCTATAACTTATTTTCAGAGAAATTTGTGTAGAATGAAAGGTAAGAGTTATATATAGCTTACCTGACAAGTTATCGATCCGACTTACCTTCCACCACTCTAAAATAACATGACTTAGCTTCTCAGCCCTTCATCTCTCTCTATCTCATGTGTTTTTCAATTTTACTCCTTTGAAATTTCTAAAATTTCATGATTTATGAAGGTAATTTCTGGTCCATCTGTCATGGCACATGCAGCACAAGCCGTGGCGCACGATAATGAGATTTATTCTCACCACGGGTACTTGCTTTAACCTGAAACATACTCCTATCGCCCGTATTTGCTCACACAACACATAGATAAGTCAAAATATCAATTTATTATCCAAATCTTTAATCTCATACTAACTTTCACTTCACCCTCGATTAACCCCTAAACTCAAGATTAAGAAATTTAGGATGTTACATTGGTTACTAGTTTAGAGTTGAATAATAGAGCTTTGAACCTGCAGGCTTAATTTCACCTAAATTCAATGAAAATTAGGATGAAAATTGTGTTTAACTGGAATGGGATTGCTTGAGGTTTTGTAAAGTAGAAATTGAGTAGTAATAAACATAAAAAGGCTAAGTAGAAAGGAATGAACAAATAGATGTAGCCTTAAGTAGTAATTATGTGTTTTTGGTTAATTTGAACCAATTGACTAATTGCACCAATTGTGTGTAGATTAGCATAGTCCTTGCTTAGAGTGAGATAGAACTTAATAGTAGATCGTTACTAGTAATCAAAATTCATAGGTAACCTTTCTAGTGACAGAAGGGTTGAGATAACTAAATAACTTTCTCTGTTTGACTATTTATTGTAACCATATGGAAATGTGCTATGTAGTATATGAAATTATTTTTAACACTGCATGTTTTGTAATATTATATGTTTATTACATGAAAATGATTTCTAGGATTCACATTAATGGTATTACATGTTTTATGATTGTATATGCATATGTAGTTTTGAAAAGAGGACAATGTGATGATTGTATGAAAGTATGATCATAGGGGTGGGAGTTCACTCGAGTGGAAATGGAGAGAAAGACCATATGGTATTATTCTCCTTAGTACCTGATGAAGTGTGGTATTGGAGAATCATATCTCCTTAGTGCTTGTAAAGGTGCAATATTAGAGATTATCTCTTTTGTGTCTATTGAGGTGTAGTGTTAGAGATTGGGACTCCTTAGTATCAATGTGATGTGAAGTTAGAGTTAATGACACCCCATTGTATGTATTGGGAGAAACTATAGTTCAGAAGTAAGATAGAACACCTTTGGCTGGGTGATTCTATCAATAAAGGTCACCTCAGGGTCAATGAGAGTGTATATTAGTCTAAGGCGAGCCCATGGTTTCAAGTCAGGGTGATTTAGAGGTTCGGTTAGTAGTGACATGCTATTTGTTAGAAAAGTGGTGAAAAGTAGTAAATTGAGATGATTATACTTTTAAAAGTGGTAAAATGTTATATCAATGAGATTTAAAGCAAAATTGTGATATATCTTATGTTCAAGCTGTATGTTATGCTATACTTACTTATGGTAGCATATGATAGTGGACAATAGAGAGTTATTCTATTATTGAGATTATTATCTCACCCCGTGGTTACATTTTTACAATATATAGTAGTGAGTCGGATAAGAAAAAGGAGTCAAGACTGGCATAGCAATGCCATTTGTAACATCTTAAGTTCCTTCATTTGTAACTATTAGTGTTTTTAAGGGATAATTTGGTCAATTTAGATAAATTGTTATTTAGCGAGGTTTATGGAGACTAATATGGTTTTTGGATCTTAGACAGCTTTAGAAGAGGGCTAGGTCGAGATTCAAGTGGGCCATAGCATGGAAGGGAGTTTAAAACTTCATGGGGGCTTTCTGTGCCATGCGCTGTGGTGGGCAAGTCTGTGTGATGTGATGCACGGGCAAAATCTACACTTGTCAAACGTGAAAAACAAATTAAAAATAGAAGAGATAAAGAGAGAAAATGAGAGAGCGATGGAGGAAATCTTTTACTCTACTAGAGCACGATCCCTGGGCTACTTTAAAGGTATTTGGAGCTTGATTCACTATTAGGTAAGTTCTACATTCCCTATTCTCCCTCTTTTATGTGAAAATCCAAATATTTAGGGTAATGGGGGCTTTAATTTTGGTTCCCTTGGGTTTAGACTGAACCTATTAGTTTATTTTAAGCACCTAAAACCTAGTGAATTTGGAGTTATCCAGAGTGATAATTGACGATTATCACTTATTGGTGTATATTAAGTGTTGCTCGAGCCATATTATGCATATAAAACATGTGGAGCTAACGTTGAGCCACGGTAACCTTTTTATGTGATAAAAAGGTTAAGGTAACCATATAGTTTATTGTGTTTATTAACTATTGTAACTGTGTAGAAGTAATTCTAAATGCTTAAGTTGTGGTTTTGAAGAGTTTTGTGCATAATTTGATGTAAATGATTTTAGCATAAAAAGGTGATTTGTAAATGATTATTGTTTTTTATTACAATATACATATATACTATGTATATAAGTGTGAAATGGAATGTGATGGAAAGTAGCGAAATGTGATCATTTTGAGCATGATTGCTTAATTGTGTGATGTGAATAGATTGTTATGTGGTGTATGATCCATTTGAGGTAGTCAAGTTGTCTCCGGTGCTAATAGCATTGTGTATTGTGAATTGGACACCATAGTATGTGTTTTGTTGTGAAAATGAACCATTTTAATTTTCAATGTCCATCTTTTAAATGGATGATTGTAAAAGTACAAGACTAATGCCATTAGCTAGAAGGCTCATACAGCTTTGTGTGGACACTTGAATTGCTCAAATCGGATGTCGGATGGCAAAACGGCACGCTTTGAAAGTTTGGAGAAAAGTCATGATAGCAATCTACTGCCATGAGAGTAGGTACGCACTGTGGCGCACGATTGTTGTATCATGGCACATGAGGCCCTCGAGGGATTTGTCCCTTTATGCCATCCGCCATGGCGGGCGTGGACTGCACCACAGCGGACGGAGCAGTAAATGCTAGAAAATGGCATTTAAGCCAGATTTTATTGTAGTTTGTTTCCCATGCTTTCGTATTTTCTCTTAATCGATTCTTAAACATGGCTTAAGCTTAAACTATATTTTAAAAAGGTTTTTTTCTTGGGATCCTAATGTTTTAACTAATTATTTTTCAAACCCTTGAGTTGTGGTAACTTGGGTAGGGGGTTTTTATTAAATCTTAGTTATCATGAGTTGTGAGTGTTGTCCTGATAATGTCAAGACCGATATTATAATTTGGTATCAGTTTCAAGCATTTCGAGACTGGTATGTGTGGTTGTTGTGTTGGGTGATTTTGCTTGTTGCATTCATGTCTAAAAGTTGGCATATATATTCGTTACACTTACCTTTCCTTTACATAGTTCTTTCATTTAACGCTTATTCTTCATGTGGTTACTTCCATCCTTAGGAGGGGAGAGAGGATGGCAAGAAGAAGAACTGCCAGAACGGCTACAGGTGGTAACCCATCTAATACGGACGTAGTACTAAAGACTAATGAGCTACCACTAGAGAATCATATTTTGGTTGGTCAAAACTGGGAACAATCGAGGAAGAAGCCACAGGGTAATAAGGCCTTGCTATTAGAAATGAGAAATTTGATGCAAGAGATATGTAATTCGGTATGGGGATAAGGTGCACAAAGGAATGATAGGGTAAGAGAATATAATAGAACAATTGAGAATGAAGAAGAGATGTATGAGCAAGAAGGTGAAGTTTATGAAGAGAGCATACCTAAGCAATCTGGAGCTGTGGGTGGTAGTAGTTTACAAAATTCCATGGATCAAACATGGTTGAGTTTTTCACGGTTTCATCTACCTACATTTAATGGAACAATGAAGGAGGGCGAAGCTGAAGAGTGGATTGAAAGAATTAAAATAATATTTGAAGTGGTGCCATGTTCAGAGGAGCAGAAGGTGACTTTGGCCTTAATGTTGTTTATAAAAGAGGCTACACATTAGTGGAAGTCGGTGAGACCAATGGGTAGAGTAAAGTGGACATGGGATGAATTTAAAGTGAGGTTTTTCAACTTTTACTTCCTAGTGGCCTTTAAAGCAGAAAAAGAGGCCAAGTTCTATGAATTTAAGCAATGGAATCTTGATAAAGAAGCTTTCATCACCAAGTTCAATCAATTGTCGAAGTACTCTACTTATCTCATAAGGAATGATGACTCAAAATGGAAGGCTGAGAGGCTACTTACAAGGCCTTGTCTGAGAATAGCTGCGAGAAGGAGCAGAGAGGCAGAGACTAAGAAGAGAAGGGATAATCAGGGCAGATTCTCACAATCGCTTGGCTGTACCGGTAGAGTTAGCAAGAGATCCGATTTTACCTCAGGTATTTTTGGGAGCTTTGGGAAGAAAAAGACCTTTCAAAGGGGATCACAATCTTGAGGTTCCTTCCAGAGGAGTAGTGGACCAAGGTATAGTGCCAGTGGTACACAGCTATCTCAATAAGCTTCCACAATACTTGTGCCTACTCTTAGTATAGCCAGAACCCCTCAGTGTTCGAAGTGTGGAAGATATCATGTGGGAAAGTGTTAGGTTTACTTCAAGTGTAGCAAGTCAGGGCACATAGCCAAATATTGTGAAGAGGGCAAAGTGGGTACCACATAGCAGAGATCGACTGTTCCTGGGAGAGTATTTGTGTTGTCCCAAGAGGAGGCAGGTGCATCTCTAAATTTGATTAGAGGTAAAATATCTCTATACAACTGTGATATAGATGCTTTGTTTGATTCAGGTGCTACCCATTCTTGCATTTTTGATGACTGTGTTTTGAGGTTGAAATTACCTGTGCGTACCTTGCCTTATGTGATTAATGTGTCTACGCCGGTAGAAATTTCTGTAAGAGCTGACCATGCTTGTTTGGGTGTTGATTTGAGATTTAAGAATGGATTAACTTCTATTAACTTGATTTGTTTGTCCATGATTGGGATTGATGTAGTAGTGGGTATGGACTGGTTGTCAACAAATAATGCAACATTAGATTGTGTAAGAAAGATAACATCCTTGCCAATGTACACTACACCTATAGTGAAATCTAGTCAATTAAGATTCTTGTCTATAATGCAAGCAGAAAAGTGCATTCAACAGGGTTGTCAGGCATATATGGTGTTCTTTTCCATTCATGCTGCTTATGATGGACGAATTGAGAGAATTGGAGTGGTAAATGAATTTCCCAAAGTACTTTCGGAAGAAGTGTCTGGATTACTGCCTGAGCGAGAAGTGGAATTTTCTATTAACCTTGTACCTAGAATAAAACCCATATCGAAAGCTCCTTATCGGATGTCTCCATCAGAGTTAACAGAGCTAAAGAAACAATTAGAGGAATTACTAGAAAAAAGGTTTATAAGACCAAGTGTGTTCCCATGGGGATTACCGGTGTTATTTATGAAGAAAAAGGACGGTAGTATGAGACTTTGCATTGACTATAGACAGTTGAACAAAGTGACAGTCAAGAACAAGTATCCTTTGCCCAGATTGATGATTTACTAGATCAGTTAGTTGGGGCTGCGGTGTTCTCAAAGATTGACCTGAGATCAAGCTACCATCAATTGCAAGTTAGGGTCGAGGATGTACTAAAGACTGCCTTTCGTACTAGATACAGTCACTATGAGTTCCTAGTGATGCCGTTTGGATTGACGAATGCTCATACAGTGTTTATGGACTACATGAACAAAATCTTCCATCCTTAGCTGGATAAGTTAGTGGTAGTATTTATTAATGACATTATAATTTACTCAAGAGATGAGGAAGAGCATACAAAGCATCTTCATATTGTCCTACAACTTTTAAAGGACAATAGTTATATGCCAAACTCAGTAAATGTGAGTTTTGGCTAAGAGAAGTGAGATTTCATGGTCACATAATGTCGGCAAAAGGAACTGTCGTGGATCTACACAAAGTAGATATGATGTTGAAATGGAAATCGCCTACTTCAGTATCAGAGATTAGAAGTTTCTTGGGATTGGCAGGCTACTATTGGTAATTTATTTAAGGATTTTCACAAATTGTGTCTCCTTTAACTAGGTTGACCTAAAAGGATTAGCCGTATGTGTGGACCGATAAGTGCGAATCGGCATTTCAAGAGTTGAAGAAGAAACTAACGTCTGCTCTAGTATTGGTTATTCTTAATCCACGACCCATGATCTGGAGTTAGCAGCAGTGGTTTTTGCCTTGAAAATTTGGCAACACTATCTCTATGGGTTTATGTTTGAGGTATTTAGTGATTACAAAAGTCTGAAGTGATTAGTGGATCAAAAGGAGTTGAACATGAGGCAACGTAGATGGATGGAATTTCTCAAGGACTACAACTTTGAGATCAAGTACCATCTAGGTAAAGCCAACATAATAGCAGATGCGTTAAGCAAGAAAACGGCGCATGTTGCTCATATGATGATTCAAGGGCATCAATTGCTTGAGACTTTCTTAGATACTCAAAGGAAAGCACCACAAATGACGTTGTACAATGTGCATTCTACAGTCATAACCAATGAGTTCTAGAAAGAGTTGCAAACTGCTTAGTTTGAGGACAAGTATCTACTTAGGATCCGTGAGGATATTGAAGAGAGGAGACCCACAGAGTTCGAATTCAATGATGATGGATATGTGACTTATTGTGATTGAATTTGTGTGCCAAGTAATGAGGAGATAACGAAGACGATCCTAGAGGAAGCACACCATAGTAAGTATACTATTCACCCAGGTGTCACCAAGATGTATCAAGATATGAAGCAAATGTGATGGTGGCTAGGAATGAAGAAAGATGTGACAGAGTTTGTGACTAAGTATTTGACGTGTCAAAAAGTTAAGATTGAGCACCAAAGGCCTGGTGGTGTGTTGCAACCACTAGAGATCCTAGAGTGGAAGTAGGATAGCATATTAATGGATTTCATCACTTGATTGCCTAGAACTCAAGCAGACTATGACGTAATATGGGTGATTGTGGATCGGTTGATGAAGTCAGTGCATTTCTTAGTAGTGAAGACTATCTATTCACTTGAGAATTATGCCGAGGTCTATGTAAATGAAATAGTGAGACTTCATAGGGTGCCAAAGGACATTATCTCTGACCGTGATCCATGGTTCACATCAAACTTTTGGAGAGCATTGCAGAAGGTAATGGGCACTAAGTTTAAATTTAACATGGCATATCATCCACAGACGGATGGTCAGACTGAGAGGACTATCCAAATGCTTGAGGACATGTTGCGAGCTTATACGTTGGAGTTGAGAAGTAGTTGGGATATGTATCTACTGTTAGCAAAATTTGCTTATAACAATAGTTTTTATTCTAGCATTAGAATGGCTCCGTACGAGGCATAATATGGAAGAAGATGTCGATTGCCTCTGTGCTGGACAGAATTGAGCGAGAAAAGTCTGTTGGGTCCAGATTTGGTAGACCAAACCATCTAAAAGATCTAACTGATTAAGCAAAAGTTGTTGACAAACCAGAGTCAATAAAAGAGTTACGCTGATCGGTATAAAAGGCCATTAGAATTTTTGATTGGTGATCATGGATTTTTGAGGGTCATGCCAATGATTGGTAATAGGAGATTGATAAAGGCTAAGAAATTGACTCCAAGGTGTATGGGTCCCTTTGAGATTTTGGAGAAGTTGAGACCTGTTGCCTATCGAATTACCTTACCGTCGAGTTTATCAGGTGTTCATGATGTATTCCATATGAGTCAGCTTAAGAAATATCAACCTGATCCTTCTCATGTTATTGAGTCGGAAGAGGTAAAACTCTAAGAAAACTTGACCTATCGAGCTAAACCAGAGCAGATTATAGATGTGAAAGACCAACAATTAAGAAACAAGACCATTCTGTTAGTTAAGGTCTTTTAGAAGGGAATGACTCCTGGTAATGTGACTTGGGAGACCAAGGATAAAATGAGGTAGTTATGTCCCCAATTATTTACACAAGTATGTGTTTGAGCAAGATTATGAATTTTAAGGGCAAAATTCCTAAAAGGAAGGGAGAATTGTAACATCCTAAGTTCTTTCATTTGTAGTTATCAGTGTTTTCAAGGGGTAAATTGGTCAATTTAGATAAATTGTTATTTAGAGAGGTTTATGGAGACTAATACAACTTTAGAAGAGGGCTAGGCCGAGGTTCAAGTGGGCCATGGCACGGAAGGAAGCTTAAAACTTCGTGAGGGCTTTCTGTGCCATGCGCCGCAACGGGCGAGTTTATGCACTGTGGTGCACGGGCAAAATTTGCACTCATTAGATGCGAAAAACAAATCAAAAACAAAAGAGATAAAGAGAGAAGACAAGAGAATGATGGAGGAAAGCTTTTGGTCTGTTAGGGCACGATCCCTAAGCTACTTTGAGGGCATCTGGAGCTTAATTCACCATTGGGTAAGTTGTACATTCCCTCTTCTCCCTCCTTTATGTGAAAATCGGAATATTTGGGGTAATGAGAGCTTTAATTTTAGTTCCCTTAGGTTTAGACTAAACCCATTGGTTTATTTAAAATCTTAGGGAGTTAAATCAAGCTTCTAATATTAAGTTTGAGTTTGGTGGTGATTGAGAATTTTTGGTAAGGGTTTAGGTGAACTCTAAGTATAATTTGAGGGTTTTGAGACAATGTGGAACATTGATTAGTAATTTGGGTGTGTTGGAATGTGTAATGGGATGGTTAGAGTATGTGGGAATAGTTGATATTGTTAGAGAAGGAATTTGAGTATTTTAAGCACCTAGAATCTAGTAAATTTAGAATTATCCGGAGTGATAACTGACGATTGTTACTTATTGGTGTAGATTGAGCGTTGTTTGAGCTATATTGTGCATATAAAATGTGTGGAGCTAATGTTGAGCCACGGTAACCTTTTTGTGTGACAAAATGGTTGAGGCAACCATATAGTTTATTGAGTTTATTAACTATTGTAACTGTGTAGAAGTAATTCTAAATGATTAAGTTGTGGTTTTGAAGAGTTTTGTGCATAATTTGATGTAAATGATTTTAGCATGAAAAGGTGATTTGTAAATGATCATTGTTTTTTATTACAATATACATATATACTATGTATATAAGTGTGAAATGGAAATGTGATGGAAAGTAGCAAAAATTGTGAAAGAGCATGATCATAGGGGTGGGAGTTCACCCGAGATATGTGAGATATATGTGTGTGGAGATTTGTGAGTGAAAAATCCATATGGTCTGGATGATACCATGGGATATTCGGTGAAACATTATATGGAACTATTACCATAGGATATCCGAGCAGTCTATCAACTCCTTAATACCCGTTGGGGTGTGGTTAGGAGTCAACGATGCCTTTATCACAAGTGTGTGAAGAGGCAAAAACCGTACTCTGTAAGCAGGTTAGATTGCTTTTGGCCGGGTATTTCTACCACCTAAAGTATGCTCTTGTCAACATGTGGTTGAACTAAGAGAGTCTATGGTTTCATGTTGGGGAGCATTAAAGGTTCAATGGTTAGACGATCATGCTAGTGTAAAACTATGTGTTTTGTTGGGAAGAGATGCATATACCTTATAATTTTTGGTATGCTAATTAATACTTTGGTTTTGATACTTTTTCATGGTTATTTGTGGTAATAAACATTTAATGAGCTATATTGGTTACTGAGATGTTTATCTTACCCTGTGGTTATATTGTAAAGGTGAAGGCTCCGGTAGGGGCAAGAGGAAGGAAGAGGCATTTGAAGAGTAAGGAGCACCACTGTATAACTCTTCCTTTTTTCTCTTTTTGTGTAATATAACGAATATTGTTACTAAATATTGCCAACTTAAGAACATGACGTTATTAGTATATCACTTGTATGAAATTGTGATAAGTGTGTATATCTTGGTCCAAGAATGATGATACGGATTAATTGTGTGCTTGGTCAAGTTGCTTACAAGTGATTTGTATATATATATATATATAAGTGTTTTGAGTGTCAAAATAACCAATTGATTGATGCGTTGGATTTTGTCCACCCCATTGGGTTTTTATCTAATGAGGGTTTGGTGATCATTTTGAGTATGATTGCTTAATTGTGTGATGTGAATAGATTGTTATGTGGTGTATGATCCATTTGAGATGGTCAAGTTGTCTCCGGGGCTAATGGCATTGTGTATTGTGAATTGGACACTATATTATGTGTTTTGTTGTGAAAATGAACCATTTCGAGTTCGGGTGTTCATCTTTTAAATGGATCATTGTAAGAGTACAAGACTAGTCCCATTAGTTAGAGGGCTCATACAGCTTTGTGTGGACACTTGAATTGCTCAAATCGGATATCGGATGGCAAAACGGCACGCTTTGAAAGTTTGGAGAAAAGTCATGATAGCAATCTAACAGTAAGTGCATGCCGCGGCACATGATTGTTGCACCACTGCGCACTAGGCCCTCGAGGGATTCATCCTTCTGTGCCATCCGCCGCTGCAGGCATGGACTACACTATGGCGGACGGAGCAGTAAATGTTGGAAAATGGCATTTAAGCTAGATTTTATTGTAGTTTATTTCCCATACTTTCGTATTTG